GGCTTTTGAAAGCCGCACCAAAATAGACACGCGGCGGCAGGATCACACAGATCCCGTGAGCCGCCGCGCAGTTGCTCCCCGGCAAGATCAGATGCTGGGGAGAAAGCCACGGAGGGGAGCGGGAGGCCACCGGCTGCGCATGCGTGCACATGCGCAGTTCGGCTGGGAGCCTCAATTGCTCCAGAAGACAGACGCTTGGGCAATCCGACGGCCGCGCTTGCTGTGGTGTCTCTGGTAAGTCCTGCTCGGGAGGTGGGTTTTTTTAACAGCGGATTTTCGGCCGGAAGGGCTGGATCGGGGATGGGTATGCGCCGCTTCCCAGATGTTGCGGTGAGATCGCGCCCCTTTGCTGCGCCCCCGATCCGTCCCTCTCCTGGCCCAAAAACATTCGTGTGACCGGGGCCAGTGCAAGTCTACTAATTAGTCATCAAATCAAAAAAGCCTTCTATCTCTTATCCTTTTAATTGCTGGCATTTGCCTTACAATCTTTCCAGAATCAAAAACATCTTCACTCCCTCATGCCTGGCAAAAGGCCTTACAGTCTTATCTTCTTAGGAATGTTGCAACATTAAAGGGATAAGAGATTGAAGGCTTTTTTGATCTGACTACTGAGAAATAGAAGAAGAAGAAGAAGAAGAAGAAGAAGAAGAGAAGAGATTGGATTTATACGCCACCCTTCACCCGGAGTCTCAGAGCAGTTTACAAACTCCTTTCCCTTCCCCTCCCCACAATAGACACCCTGTGAGGTAGGTGGGGCTGGGAGAGCTCTGACAGAACTATGGCTTGCCCAAGGTCATTCAGCAGCAGCAAGTGGAGGAGTGGGGAATTAAACCTGGTTCTTCCAGATTAGAGTCCGTGCACTTAACCACTACACCAAACTGGCTCTTTGTAGATCCGTCTTTGAGGAAATTCTACGAAACGGGTTCTCCAGCCAGGCCCCCGTAAGACTGGAGACTGCCTTTGCATGGAGAAAAAGCCTCTCAACATCATCTGAGACAAATTTTGCCTTTATGATTCGTTTCTCATAAAGCATATCAGAATAAAAGTATTCATGCACTGCTAAAGTGTACAGCATCATAATACTCGGAAAAGAATACTTCTTAGCTTTATTGCGCTGTTTGTTAGCATTTATTACCTTTTCTATAGGGCTGTAAGAATGTAGTGATTTATAGGGACTTGTTAATCAGTAAAGTTGCACTGTGTAAATGATTTTGTTAAATGGACACAGAGGTGTTATTTCTACTATTTGATATTTATGTACGTAGTAGGTTGGTATATAAAAAAGAAGATTTGTTTAGAGTTAATTAGTTATTTTTCTACGGTTATTATTTCTCCAGTTTGGACTCATATCCGTAGTTCTCCTTTCCTGTATAGTTTGGATTAAATTGGGCATTTTGGAAAGGTGGGATTTAAATAGTTGAAATTAGGGGTCGTTTCGTAGAAAAAGAGCTAGGGGAACTCATTAGCATAACTCATTAGCATATGCCACACCCCCTGACATCACCGGAAGTGTGCCATAAGGCCACACCCCCTGACATCACCGGAAGCGTGTCATAAGGCCACACACCCCGCCCCCAACAGTCCCGGCCGCTGCTGGCCTTGCAAGGAAGTGCAAGGAAGCCCCGCGAAGGCCCTCCCTGGCCCCAGGCAGGCAGGGTGGGGAGAGGCAGGGAGGAAGCAACTTACCCTCCCTCTTCTCCTGCTTCCTCGTGGCTGAATGAGGGCCGGAAGCCGGGCGGCCGGAAGCAGGGGGCGGGGCTTCGTCATGTGCCCCGCCCCCCATACCGCACCCGGGGGAACTGCGATCCCCCGCGATCCCCCCCGAAATGACCTCTGGTTGAAATAAATTAGGCGAGACGTTGGAAAATCCATGGGGAGGGACCTCAGGAAGGTAGGATGCCATAGAGCAGTGATGGCGAACCTTTTAGAGACCGAGTGCCCAAACTGCGACCCAAAACCCACTTATTGATCGCAAAGTGCCAACACGGCCATTTAACCTGAATACTGAGGTTTTACTTTAGAAAAAACAACTCATACATTAACTTAAGATGATCCAAAGAAAGTAAGGAAAGCAATCCCAAATGCTTTCGTTTACTTAAAATTAATCGGCAGAGAATTCGACACTTTAATGATGGTCTGGGCCTGGCTGGGGCGATGGCACACGTGCCCAAAGAGAGGGCTCTGAGTGCCACCTCTGGCACCCGTGCCATAGGTTCGCCACCACTGCCATAGAGAGTCCACCTTCTAAAGCAGCTGTTTTCTCCAGGGGAGCTGATCACTGTCATTCCGGAGCTCAGTTGTGATTCTGGGAGATCTCCAGGTTAAGGCGCTTAGGGCTCTTTAGCTTGAAGAAATGACGACTGAGGGGTGACATGATCAAGGTTTATAAGATTATGCATGGGAAAGAGCAGGTAGAGAAAGAGGTACTTTTCTCCCTTTCTCACAATACAAGAACTCGTGGGCACTCCATGAAATTGCTGAGCGGTCGGGTTAGAACGGATAAAAGGAAGTACTTCTTCACCCAAAGAGTGATTAACACATGGAATTCACTGCCACAGGAAGTGGTGGCGGCTACAAGCACGGACGGCTTCAAAAGGGAATTAGATAAGCATATGGAGCAGAGGTCCATCAGTGGCTATTAGCCACAAGGTATAGATAGGGACTCTGGGGCAGGTGATGCTCTGTCTTCTTGGTGCTTGGGGGGGGGGGCAACAGTGGGAGGGCTTCTAATGTCCTGGCCCCACTGATGGACCTCCTGATGGGACCTGGTATTTCTGGCCACTGTGTGACACAGAGTGTTGGACAGGATGGGTCTTTGGCCTGATCCAACATTGGCATCTCTTGTGTTCTTATGTTCTTATCTGGAGGTTGACATGACAACCCTACATACCTGGCTTCTGATCCCATTTTCTCTGTCCATCCGCAGGTGCTCCATTCCACGGCCTATTACTGCAAGACCATCCTGGACGACAACAGCTCCTCCGCCCTGATCATCCTTGGCTTCGTCATCATGTCTCCCCTCATCGTCGTGGCCATGGCCGTCTACTGCAGCCTGGCACGGCGCCTCCGCCTCTTCATGTGTTTCCAGCCTTGCACCCGGGCCATCTACAAGGGGGTGAGATGGCAGTGGTACGAGGAGGGGGGCATCCGTGGCTGTGCCAAGGCGTGGAATGCGCAAGTCAAGGCCTGGGTTTAAGCCCTTCTCCTCAGCCCGCTCGCCAGCATTACCAGTGCCTGGTTTTGGTGAGGCGCAACGGAAACGGCAAACAAAATTATAGCCACACAACACATCTTTGCCGCACTTGGCCTCCCTCAGCTGTGGCGCGCTTGGCCTCACGTCGATTCTGGAGCATTCTGTGGAAAATCCCCCCCATTTCACAACTGCCTCAGCCCTGAGTTTAGCCGAGCTTCTATTTTCTCAGCTTTGTCTGCAAAATTTATGGAAAATAATTGTGGACTACTTTACAAGGCTGTTGTAAGGATTAGAAGTGCTCTATGGGAGCTGTTTGGAATGTTTAGAAGCACGGTTTCTGGTGGACGAACCTAACATGCCTTTGGCACACACGTTCCTCTTAATCGTAGTTGTGGGTAGGATAATCAAGGAATCCCCATATTCAGGTTTCACTGTTCAGGTAAGACATGATAAGCAGACGATCACTTTGTTTAAACCTTGGACTGCTGCAAAGACATTTGAAATGAAGGTTGGCTCCAATTTGTAGAACAGAAGAGATGCTAAATCCTCACCTGCCCACGGTTTATCACCCCCTCCCCCACTCTCTTTTCTCCTCAGACATGTTCATATATTGGATGTAAGCTTGGCTGAGGCCTGGTCTACTCATGTGGCAAAATGAGGTGGCGGAGTGTTGAGGTGGTGGAATGGATTTGACCATTTCAGACAGCAGGGGAAGGGACTGCCTGTTGCTAAATGTTCCTAGTTCAGTAATTCCTTATAAGCAGATAACCAGTATAATGTGGAAAGGGTCAAAACAGAACCTTTCTTCCTGATTTGTTAATTTTCAGTTGGCAATGAGTTTCTACATGATGGACCATTCAGCATATGAACCCCCTTCCCTGAATTCTGAAGTGGTACAGCCCTTTCTACCACCTGAGGTTGCCAAGCAAGGGCTGGCAACCACTGAGAGACTTGGGGTGGGTGGGTGGTCTGTGGTAAAAAACTATAGTTTCTGGTGAATCCTAGAGTGTCTTGTTACCCAATGATATCACTTCCAGTTATACTGCCAGAATAGAATTGCAGGACGATGTTTCAGCCTGCCCGCCCACCCCTCTGCTGCCCTACTGAGCGAATGTGGGGGCCAAGGGCCTAGGGCGGGAGGTCTCTACTATAACCTCAGAATTCTGTTACCTCATTTGCAGACCAGGCCTGAGAGATATGGGGGATAAGCATGGGGCAAGAAGTGAGCTCAGCACCCCTCACCTATATGCCCCATTATCTTCTAAAAATATACCTCCACTGTCTGTTTTTATGTGATTGGGACAGATCAGGATTTAAACAAATGGATCTGTTGCCACCATGTAAAATTTGTGCCTCAGGAGCTGAATTAGCTGGAGTAGACTACCGGCCACCATTTTGAAGATGCCACCTGGTTCTTTGCGGTCTCTATTTTCATTGTCACACTAATTCTCTACATGGCTACAGTCATGGAAAACATAACTAACAAGTGGTGTGAGTCAAGGACAGAAATTCCATCTGAAATCCACGGAGAACAGCAGCGGTGTTCAGACTTTCTACTTTAAGGCAACCATTTCCAAGTTGACTTCTCAGCTGAGGAAGCTTGGCATGCCTGATAGACAACCTGTATATGTTGTGGAGGATTATGGGGGATATGCTAAGGCAGGTGGCTCATTTCATACAGGGCAACGTCGCCCTGTGCGAACTAAGAGTGTTACGCTACGAAATTCAATACTACTGCTGTCTGCGTGTTGTCACGGAAGATTGAGAATAGTCTTTTCAGGAACGTCTGTCAGCCGTTTTTATCTTTCTCCTCATGGAACTCCTGAGAAACTCCTGAGGCAACACAGGGATTCCTGGAATGCATTTCAGAAGCCAATGTGATAAATGAATAGATGGTGAAAACATAAGACTATTGACTCTAATCACTAAAACTCTCACAGAGGATTGAGGGATATTACAAAATACTTTTTTTTTTTAACTGAGTCCTCCCAGCCAAGAGAAGACGGAGTTGCCACTTCTATTTTTTCCAACAGAGACAGTCCCTGTGTACTGGGAAAGAAACCCGAATACAGAAAAGTGGGGCTTTTCTACAAGAGTTCTCTCTGGCTGGGAAAAAACGTTGTTGGGACTGTGGGGGAATTCAGTCCAAAAAAAGGACCTCATGGGTGGAAAAAAAGACATAGGCCCAATGGAAAACTCAAGTTCACACACACAAAAAGGCAGATTTAGCAATGGTAAACCCTGGCACAGATGGAGAGCTCCGGGGAAGATTAACTATCTTGTCAGCATCCCCTTCCTTCTCCGAGCAGGGTTTAAATCTACCCTGAAGCTAGCGGAGGTGACCGCCTCAGGTGGCAGATTGTCAGATGTTTAAATTATTACAGCTCTCACATCACGAGGGGGGCGTCATTTGGATTTTCTGTCGCAGCCACCGAGATATCTTTGGCTGCTTCGGTTTATAAAAGACTGCTGGGAGGAAGACCTGTGAAACCGGAGAAGCAATGACTTTAAAGGGAAGCTAAAGGCACATCCAGACCAGAAACCTACACACACTCCATCGCCTCCAGAAACAAGTTTGCATGCTGCACTCCCCTTCACAAATGCCTAGTGCATGCACAAACTCTTGACTCGACGAATACGCATTGCTCCGACCATGCAAGTCCCAATTTATGATGGGAGGGGGCGGGGGCGGAGAAACAGGGCAATACATCTCACGGCCCCATTAAGGTGCAGCCGCCTCCACAGTAACCTGTAGAAATAGAAAAACTGCACCACACGCTTTCTCCAGATCTGAGAATCTCTTTTTGGCAGGCTCTCTGGCTTCTTAAAAGAAGAGTGTGTTAAGAGTTCACTGCGCATCGTGAAGGTGCATTGAAGGACATTGTGTGCTCGTTGCTTTAGCGGGGAGCCATGGGGATTATTGCTTTATGTAACACTGCTCTGAGGAAGGGCAGATGTGCTAAGCCCCCTACTCCTTTGGGGGCCCTTAAAATGGAAGCCAAAGGGGAAAAGGGCACGTTTTGTGCTTATTCCAGCCCTGCGTGTGTTCTCTTGCTATCGTTTAATTGCTGCACGCCAAGGAAAGATTTCCCGCCACGCACCTGATGCCCCCACCTCGAAACTGTGTGTTCTCTTGTTGCTGACCTTCAGTCTCTTCCGTGCAATTCTTGCAGCTGCCGTCGCTGTATATCTGTCGGGGATCCTTGAGCGCTGGTTGTACAATTCCCATTTACAATGCCTGATCTTCCCGCAGTTTCTGGCTGGGCATTAAAGAGGATCTTTTTAATATGTTTCCCTTGTTCGTCCTCCTCTTTTGTCGCTGAGTGCAGCGTTCCTCGATGTAAACGCGGGCACAGATGTCGCAGTGCCTCTTTAAATTTGCAGAGCCGGAGGGCCCCATCCTAACAGAAAGTTTCCTGGTGCTTCTCTGCTGTCTGTTTATCTGCAAAGGGAGAAGTGGAGACAGGGAAGCAGGCAAGCACCCACCCAGAGAATGGTAGCCTGAAGAAGACCCAGTGCCCCCAAAAGCAAACAGCAGCAGTCCCAACTGTACCCTGTTCACCAAGAACAGTCCCCATTTCCTGTTCCCTGGCTCTGGCCAATCACTATTTCTATTTTGGTTAGTGTGCTTTACTAGCCTTGTTTGGGGTCAGGTGCCTCCCCAGGATCTCCCCATCGGTCCACCCCACTCAGTGACCCCCAATGTAGTGGCTCTGGGCAAATGTTTTTAGAAAATGGACGGGGCCAGGTGGGGCTATTTGGTGTACAGGCTAGGAGCGCGGACTCTAATCTGGGAGAACCGGGTTTGAGAACCCCACGCCTCCACATGCAGCTGCTGGGGTGACCTTGGGTCAGTCACAAGTGCTCTCAGAGCTGTTCTCTCAGGATCAGTCCTCGAAAGAGCTCTCTCAGCCCCACCTACCCCACAGGGTGTCTGTTGTGGGGAGGGGAAGGGAAAGGAGATTGTAAGCCGCTCTGAGACTCCCTTGGGTAGTGAAGGGCGGGGTATAAATCTCCTCCTCCTCTTCTTCTTCTTGCCATTGGAGATTTGATTGGCTGTGCAGGTTGTTGTTTTGGAAGCAGCTGCCACCACAACACAAAGATCTCCAGGGTATGGCTGAAGGTAAGCTGCGGCAGCCATTTTATGGCTGGCTCCGCCTTCTGCAGTAGCCATTTTGTGGCGGCTACTTTGTGGAGGCACCCACCATGCTATGCCACCATTCCAAAGGTGCCCAGAAGCTCGAAAAGGTTGGGGACCCCTGGTCTGGGCTAATACTGTCTACTAAGAGTCTCCAAGGTCTGCTTCAGTTTCCCAAGACCTCTCCAAGATCTGCAAGGGGTCTTCCTTAGCTTCCAGAGATCCTTTAACTGGATATGCCGGGGATTGAACCCTGGAATTCCTGCACACCACGCCTGTGTTCTGCCACTGAGCTACCGCCCTATCTTCGGTTACAACCGTCTACATTGTGTGCTTCTCCTTTGCTTTCCAACATCCAGAATGAGTCTCAGCTGAAGAGCCCAATCAAAGCAGGAAGCGCCGGCAAATCAAGACTTTCCAATCAGGTTAATGGGGAAATTGCATTTCCATGGCGACAGAACCTCCACGCTGCCACCATACGCGGGCAAGGATTTCACCTTTGGGATGATAATGAATAGCCCGTGTCTGAGTAAACGAGACCCAATTCTTGAGCTTGATGATGTACCAGGAAATATATATATATATGTTGGGTCCGCTTAAGGACAGGACTCCTACTCGACTGCTAATAAGGCCAGGGAGGAAGCCTCATTAACCAGAGAGATCTCCCTTCTAGCCAGAGACAGCAGCCACGATACGCCAAGAAAAGCAGATGAGGAAAAAGAAGAAGAGGAGGTGATTGGATTTATACCTGGCCCTTCACTACCCAAAGGAGTCTCAGAGCGGCTTACAATCTCCTTCCCTTCCTCTCCCCACAACAGACACCCTGTGAGGTAGGCGGGGTTGAGAGAGCTCTTTCCAGAACTGC